AGTCATTCAGAAAAGTCTTAACTTAAGGCATCTCCAACTTGAATGTTGCATTATTGTAACATGGAAAAATTAAAATATGGCAGAGTTCGAACGTTTCGAAGTAACTTACAAGTTTATATTTCATTGTTTCATTAAATTTAAAGCAAGTTGAGTAATGTGAAGTAATTCGTTTCGAATGTAAGCTCATCGTTCCGAAGATGTTCAAACGATGTTCAGGAGAGTTATTAACTTCAGAGTGATAAAGTTGAATCGAGAGTGCGTTCGAGCTTTTTGGGCGGGCCAACAACAGGAGCTGATATTCTTGAGGAATCGAAATCCAGAAAGAGGTTCCATTCAAAACGCTCGTCAAGTTCTAAGGTTGGCATCGAAAAAATTCACTGAATCTTTCTTTTTCGAGTAATTTTTATAATGTTTGTTAATTTTCGATTGAACCAATGTCGCATTTCGCCGCTCAAAATATGATTTGTTTTTAATTGCAAAAGTGATCCAAAAACGTAGATTTTCACCACAATTTGTTCAGTTCATTGAACTGTAATCGATTAGCTGGAAATTGGAAGACGGATAGGAAACTGAATGAGCGCTTTTCAGAAATATGATCAACAGCAGCGCCGATCAACCGATCGGCTATCCGATTTATGTGTCCCCGCTGACCACCTCCTATATGGACACGCATCCACAAATGCGTTCCCTTAGCGGACCACCGATCACACCCGAACTAATCGGACGTGCACTCAGGTATTTGTGGTGCTCGGTTAGGTCACATTTCGGTACGTCAGGTAGTTCGAATATGCAACCACCGCCACAAGCCTCTTCCGGAATTGCTTTGCAGGTAATAGAAGCACTCGTCTCTTGAATGTAGCCATCATTCCACTTCATTCGCGATACAGAACTGTAGATTTTCATGTGACACGTATTCGAGTTGGTGGATGTTCTTGAAAAGTCAATTGTGAAATGATATCATAATTAGAAGGATATATGTGAATTATTTAATAGCAGATTTGATCCGAAACATTTAACGTTTACTGTAGATGATTACGCTGTATATTTATCTGTGTACATATGTATGCCATCAAACGCTAATGGCTTTAGCTTATGAGTAAGAGGTGATGATGAAGAGGAAGTTGATTCGAATTCATCGAGTTGATTCGAATTTTATAGCGACTTGGTCACTGCATCAGCAAATAAAGATTGCTTGTTTGAAACCAAACGTACACATGAAAAATAGTGACATGGAGGTGGAATTTAAAAACTTGAGCAGTTTGTGGAATTTGAAAAACGTTCAAAATGATCTGTTCCATGAGATAATGGTTGAAAACGAAATATCTATGGAAGCGGATTATGGAAAGGCAAACCTTCCGGTAGAAAAGCAACCCGAAGTGTACCGTCTGAGAGCGAATGAAAACTAACCAGGGACAGAATTTCTGAGAGCGAACTTCCCATATTATGTGTAATATTCCGAAGCGATCTGCAATTGCAGTCTGTCAATAGGCCGGAAAGTTTCTTCGATAGCATTCATCAGTGATACTTTCTAGCATTTCTGAACGAGTTCATTCTCGATGCGAATCCCACTGCCCACCTTCATGCACTATGATATTAGCAGTTTGATTTTGTTGCAGAATCTCAATTCTTCTGGAAGAAGTGGTGCACCAACTGCAGAAGGTACTGCAGAAAGGCATCAGACACAATCGCAGTCAGTACAGCAACAGCGTCAATACGTACTGCTCGATCAGCATGGCGAACAGCGCACTATTGCAGATGATCTGAATTCACGACGTTCCTCCGCCGAATCCTCATCCAGTCCTCATGTTCCCACCGCCAACGAATCTCAACAACAACAGCAAAATTCACCCCCTAGTGCAACATCTCACGTTCATGTAAGCTAGAGCTGGATTCCTGACAGTTTCTTTGAATATTTTTGAGTACTTTTCAAGCCGCACAAGTTTCGTAAATGTTCGCAGATGATCTTCAGTCATGCTCCAGAATAGTCTGTTCATGAAGTGAACGGAGGATAGGGGGGGAGGGGTACAAATCCAAAGAAATGTAGTCATTTCATTGCATTTGCATTTGTTATTCCCTTAAATTTGATGTCCCTTCATTGTTCACCCCACGTTTTTGTTCTCTTAGATTTGAAATCGATGATTTATAAATCGGAAATAGTAATTTAATGGACAGAATGCATTAATTTTAGGTTGATAATTATGATTTGTAGGCTGAAAGTAGTATTGTTGCGATGGGTGCAGACGGTGTACCAAAAGTAGAATTATGTAAACGACCAGCGACAGCGGGCGATGACTTTGATGGTACTTGTGTGCCTCTGTTTGAAAGGCCACCATCACGGTCATCAGTGAGCAGTGAACAACTATCAGAACAATATGCGAAAATTGTTGACACGGAACAGGTTTTGACGTTTGATTTGATTTGGCTCCATGATCAATCGCCATTCTGAATGTTCAATCGAATTATTTTTGAGGAGAAATGTGGCTGTCAGATGGAGGAGATTCATTTGGTCGTAAAAAACATGAGAGAATAGAACATTTTGCATGATGGATTGAAGAGAATGTCAGAGGGACGTGCTTTTTTGGTCACAAACTTGATAAGATTCGAAATTTGGAAAGAGAAAATGGAAGAAGGCGGGTTTTCGCTTCATCACATATGTGTGATATGAAGATTGCTTGAAACGGATGTGTTATTTTTCAGATCTTTAAATGTTTGGATGAACCGTTGAAAGCGACCGGTGAGCCGTTAGTGGTATGGCCACATGCAAAATGGCGTATGCGTGGTGGTCGAAGTTCATGGAATGGTATGCCGTGTGAGGGCGATCGAGGGCAAATCGTCCATAAATGGGTACCATCGCATGCGAAACGAGAGCGCAGATCACATACGGGTGTTGTTATCTATCTTGTGAGTGCTTGCATGTCTCTCTTCGTTTTCGAACAATATAGTGTTGGCCCAGCAATGGCGTGCGACAATGTGACTGCGGTGCAAACGAGCAAATTCGTTTGAATTGTCGCAATTGTTAGACGATTTCAGTTTTGAAAGCGATCAGTGAGTACTGGTACATGTGAAGGTGACTTTGTGCCGTGTGAGCGAATGCTTGAAAAAGGTTGTCAGTCAGTGATTTTGCTAATCCATAAGTGATATGATATTTCAGTTGTATATAAAAGAGATGGGCGGTTGCTATGTGCCAATCGGTGAAACGGGTGTGCAGATGATAAAGAAAGAAGAGTATGAAGCGGGTGATGAGCAAACAGCGAACAACTTTGAACAATTGTGACATCTGCTAGTCCAAGATTCGATTTTATATTCACGTTTAACTTTTTATCGTCGTGTTTCCTTGTTTCATCACAAATTTCTACTAATATCTGGAGGATTACCAGCTGGGTTTTTACGGAAACGAATTTCAAGACAGTTTCGTTCGGGGATAAGGACGATTTCAGCTTATTCTTTAGCAATTGCTGTCAAGTAACTCAGTGTTGAGGCGATTTTCTCGGGAGGTTTACTAACCAAGAATGTTTTCATAATGAGAAATTTACAGCAGTTTTATCTCCTGGCTACGTTTAGTGTTGCGTGAACTCGTTATGGTTTCAAGTTGCAAATAAATGATTCTTGTAATATAAACGAATCATGATTGTTAATATGTGTAGTGTTATTGTCTGCTCGCTGCTCAATTTTAGTCTGTTGCATATAATGACGAATTGAAGTGATGCAAATGTAATTAATTATTTATATAAGATTATTTTATGTGGTTGATGACTGATTGAACGTTTGATTGGAGATGAATTTTATTTGTAAATTATTGAATGTTTTTGTTGATATCATACATGTAACGGGCATCATGAGAATTATAGTTTAGGCTTTGAGCATTTATCGTTCATCTTATTGTTAGTGAAAGGTTCGCTTTCATTCAGTTTCGCCCACATCGTTTCAGGTAGACGAGATTACGAAAAATTTGGTTTCACAATTCTGTCCCATATCCATTTTGTCACCATATGAGTGGTTGTCTGCATGGAGCATTTCTCGGTGATGCCTATAATATAACAGAGATGTTGCTTCGTTAATGTTTTGGTGCATTTCGTTTGGATTTTTATTCAGATTCTGATTACTGACAATTTTCATATTGAATAAATTTTCCAATGCTGTTGTTATCTTATATGTGATATATCCAATTTATTGAAATGCTAGACACTTCAGTTACACATTCAAGCCTACCGCCTTCTCAAGCTTAGTCGGAAACATATCAATATTTGTACATCGTTCGATTGAGCAGATTCTCTGCTTTCTAAAAATGAAAAGCTCACTGGA